TGACGTTTGAAACAATATGGCGACCTCCATGCAGCCTGATGTAAAATATATCCTAACAACCTCATACAGCTGTGGGCAGCGAGAACACCTCAAACGTGATAGAAGATATCGTTCTTTGTGGATTTTTTGTGAAGAGTTTGACTTTTTTTCTACATGTTGCCGTATCAATTATTATCAATGAGTCGTAACATTTGATTGGCTTAAATTGATGCACCTAAAATGCGGAACACGGACTGATGTGGTCCTTTCAATAATTCTTGAAAACATATATAATCAAAAGAAAAATATTTCAAATTAATTACTCCCTTGTTTTTCAGCATAGATTACATCCTAGCTTTCATCCCTTGTAAATATTACTCTTCTTTTGCATAAAACACGAACAGACTTTAATTCAGTCGAAAATCGTAGATTAATAAAATCCTTGCGAAGACTCGGACTTCGCAGCCAATCAAATTCGTTTGCACGAGTTCTAAAACTTTCAGCTAAATCTGCCAAGGGTTGTGGAGTAGGTATCAGATCGGAAACCCTTGGCTAGAGAAGTTTGCTATAATAGGCTTTACATTTACCTAATATCAGATTCAATAGAGCATAAAAGACAATTTAATTTTCAACATCAACATAACTGTTTTCATCTAGAGAACAATTGGATGCCATCAAGAGAGAACTTTTAAAAATGCACTTCCTGTCTTTCAAACTGAAGAAATCTTATGTCAAATTTTGAAACATGCATTTCAATCTAATTAAAATTTATTTATATGTTCCAAATCCGCTTCCGCTTCTGACACATCTAACATCCCATTCGGGGTCACATTAGAGCAACCTTTCGATTATGAATACATGTACAAGTAAACACAAAAACTTTGGCCATGTAAATTCAAGCCGGAGTAAACAATTCTCAAATTAATTCCATTGATTAATTGATACTGTCTTACGTTGAATTAAAGTGATTTTGGAATAAATTTCATGTATATTCTGCAGTCTGGCATCTTAACGTGGATAATGCAAACGAGAGAGCACAAACTGTACAAGATACCCCACACGTCATACATAACACAGCTTTTGCAATGCATATTTTTTTTTACTACAAAACTCCTCGGGTGTTTTGGTTCGGTGGTGAAAACAAGAAACCCATCTGAACTATAAGCCAGGATTTCGGAAGAACCATTTTCTTTGGCTAATCGAAGATGCACTCTTACATGACCCCAAATAGGATGTTGTTAGATGTTTGAGAAGCAGTAGTGAATTCGGTACATCTAATTAAAATTAGATTGCATCCATCTGTGACATCAGTTTGGAATGTTATTGGTTTTACTATTAAGTAAAGTATTACAAAGCAGAATGTCTGGGGGTTTTTTTCTCTGATGACATTGGACAAAGATATGCATACTTAAATATCATCATTTTATGCACTTTTTCGATGCATATTAGATGAAAGCATGCTAACCGCTTTTCAGTACTTTCAGTACTTTGATTTATAGGATGGAGTTGTTTGCCCAATCCCCAACCCCCTGGACTCGGAGAACCAGTGGTATTCTGTTGAAGTTTTCCTTCCCCTAGTCACTGGTTCCAGTTATCTAATGGCACCAGAGACTCGCCTTCCGCCACTGTTACTCGGCTGCCGAAGCATTTCCAGGGTCACCAAAACGGGGAGGTATGACATTTGACTTGCTGGCAGAATCTTTTTGAGATGGTGGGGATGAACTCGAGGTTTTAATGATGACACCTAGTGACACTTAATGGAATCCTCAACAGGGACGTAGCAACAGGGGGTCCTGGTCCCCCCCCCCCCACTTTTTCCCCCAACATTACTATAGTAAATGTTCATTGAAAGGATGGTTGCCCCCCCCCCCACTTTTTACTATAGTATAGTGATATCAAGGAATTGTACGAAAAAATTGGAAGTGAAAGTAACTTGGCCTTACAAAAAGTTGGACACTACCCCCCCACCCCCACCTACCCCCACGAAATAGGATTTTCGAGTTTCGGCAAATTATATTTTGCGATATTTTTTTTTTGCTTGTCAACTTCTTCAGGTAAGTAAAAAAAAATTTTCTCTGGTTGCCCCCCCCCCCCCCATTTCAAAAACGATGCTACGTGCCTGCTCGAGACCCATACCAGTATTTGACCCCTAATATCACATTAATATGGGGTTTATATATATACTCAACAAAAAAAGAAACGCATATTGTTTTACTCGTCAAAGAAATTTTTAAAGTGTACATGGAACAACTATTTTTTATATCATTGGATACCTGTGACCTATTTAAAGGAAAACATGGGGTTTTAAAACCCAAGTGTTGAATTATCTCCCTTGATTAAACGTGTTTTTGAAAGTAGTAATTTTCATGAATTCTTCTAAATCGGATGTCTATTTTCGTTGATATTTTGGATTTAGAGAAACTATTAACACTCCTATTAAACCCATATTTAAGACTTGATTGCAGAGTTGATGCTGCAATGCCACGCCGAAACAAAGATGAACACAACCAGGCTAACGATGATACTAAACGGAGCTTCGCAACAGGAAGTTGCAACTGTATTTGGAATAAATCAATGGGCTTTGCAAAAGTTAAACTAACGTCTGAAGACCATTATATGGCCATCCGCAGGTAACCACAACCAGGCAGGACCGTCAGACCCCCCCCCCCTTCAGCACCTGAAGCGATTCATAGCTTGCTGTAAAACTGCTGCTACAATTGCTGGATGAAATCAAAGTACTCAGAAGTACAGAGAGCCGGGCTCATTTACAGAGTAGAATGGATTTCTTACATGAATCACGTTTATATTCTGATGAAAAAAATATTTTAAAATATTTTAAAACTATCAATATAAATGATAAGACACTGACAGTGAGTTTTTCAATCCTAATACCACGGTCCGATTTTGTCAGAATCAGAATTAATCTGGTACTGCAGCTGAATGTAAACAAACAGGCCAGTCTGGTTCCCTCTCCTGCTTTACCTCGGATGTGTAGAGAACTACGGTAACACTGATTATCAAAAATCCTTACGCTAATGAACTATGTTTTTTGACTTACGAAGTTTTCAAAGTCATTACTACTAATGTTTATTTTATATAGATAAAACTTCGTTTTATTTTTGTTGCTTTATTTAGCGTTTGTATTATCTCAAAAGCGGTTGAGAGTAAGAGCTATATTTTTGCACGTAACTTTGAAATGGCGACTATTGGGTCAACATCCTGCCTTGAACAGGATCACATAAGCCGGCAATTGCTCTCTGAGCAATAAGCCCGGCTAAAAATCAGCATAAAAGTGCATAAATTGTTCGCAAGGGAATGAAAAGAGATGGTATTCCTCCACGATATCCGTACATTGGAAACTCACTAGCATTGAGACGTCGCACAGTACATATTGTTATGCCCCTTGAATTTGGGGGCGATGAAAATGACATCAACTTGACTTTTCTATTTGCAACATAGGACATGTTTGATTTTTATCACAACACACTCTAAAATCACTTAAATAAAATAAGGTTTAAACTTAAAACTTAGATTTTCATATTATTCTGAATATGCGTTTCTTTTTTTGTTGAGTATATATCATATATATATTATACAAATAGGTAAAAATTCGGTCAATGTTTAACAGTTACAACAGATATATTACATTGTTCAATTTTACATATTTTCCCCTTTTATTATTATATATTTAATTCCCAAACGTTTATTTTTCTTTGTATTTGATCTAACTTGAAACGTGAACTTTCTTCGTAAAAACCTCGGAGGAAATGTGGAAACTGAATGGATTCTCATGTAACTGTCACCTAATCGACTCTTATTTATGATTAAAACCATCAATTCAGTACTTTTTTAATTATTGGTAAGATGTATTTACAATGCAGTTGCTCATTGCTGATCTAAACATGCTGAAATTCATTCGTACACGATAGACATGAAAGACAGAGGAAATTCGAACTGAAAATTCGCCAGCGTTCCTTCCTTACAAAAAAACTTCTAAAATCAGTAAAAAAAAGTAGTTCTAAAATGACTAACTTAGTCACTACAAACAAATTATCAACCACAGAGATGTTTTCATAAGATTAAGACTGTTTAATTTGTATTTTGTATCCTACTTGTACGATGTCTGGCTGAACCTCGAAGTTGGTCAACTTTGACTTGAAATTAAAAACTATTTGCACATGAAATCAAAATTCTAACAAATACGTTCTCTAAAACCATTTATTATTAATCATTTCTGAGAACTTACATTATTGTAAGGTAATCCAATTTTTTGCAAAAACACTTTTTGTAAGAGCCCACTTTTCACGATTTTTCACCGTTTTTTATATAACTGCGCATGCGTTGGACTCGTTTTTTGGAGTCTTTTCTGGACTGAAATTCTCACTTCCGTTAACGCCGTTTTTGGAGTTCGTCTAGACTGTATATCTCATTTGATTCGATACGCAAGAGCATGCTATACGTATTTGAACAAAGGTCAACACAATGGACTTGTCAGGAAATAAAATATATCATTGAGTCAAATTCTGACTGATATTTTTAGAGTTATTGTCTTTGGGTTGTTTTGTTCTTTTCGAACATGACAAGGGTGGCACGGCGGGAGCGTAGCTCGGAAGAGAATTGATTTCATCATTAGTTACGAAAACCTAGAAAGGATTCCATGCACTACCTTTATGCTTTTCTGATCAAAACCTGTGTATTTCTTTGATGTATTCTTTTATACAGTAATTCTTGGTATTTCATCTCAACAAATCAGATATCACTCAGTGTTTATTCCATCGTCGCAAGCCACATGTGGTTCGGAAACCATGCCGACATTTTACAAAATCCACAGTGCCATGCATTGGTATACGTGTAAAAGAACTCTGATCCGTATCTATTTGTTTTTAAGATATACAGAGTGGGACAGACGGACGTACAGACGCCAGAAAAGTGACCTCTAGTGTCGCTGTGCTCTTCATGCGATATCATCCCGGAGATACAGTTTCTGTGCATGAAGTTTTTAATTTTATCGAGAACAATATCATTTCCTGCTTGTAAATATTGGCGGCAAGTGTGAAGAGATCTTGGATTTTATGCTAAATATGCAATAAAACCATATCCACAGAAAGAAGACAGTCAACCAGTACTCACTTTATAGTAAGTTAAATGATTTCTCAATAATTGGTAATATGTTTTACGGTGTGACCGTTGGGGCGAGCGCAGTTGTACTATCAATAGCAATAACAGGCAATTTTTAAAATAATTTTGAAACCACACTTGTTTTACATCAAAAGAAAGGTCAGTTTACAAGGATTTCAATGGTGTAAAGGTTATTCAGATTGGTCAATGTACAAAAAAGATATAAGTATTTGAAATTCAGTAGCATTTTGTGTTTTCTGCCAATTTTTCGGCTGTAAAAAAAAATAATAATAACACTTGAAGAAATGTAAATTGATATTCATTTTTAACAGTTTTAAATAATGACAGCATTTACTGCTGATTTTACTCTGAGAATCAAATGCAAAATCTATTAAACTTTTGTATTCAAGCCCCTGATTCCAGATCATTTTTCAGTTTATAAGTAAAAATTGTAGGATCTTCGGAATTATACTTAATGTTATACCAAATAGGGAAACCAGGCACTTAGTAAGATAGAACATGAGTACTTGTAATGAAGTAAACATCAGCAAAGAATATTATTTAGATTTTGTTTACATATTCATGGATTTTAAATTATTATATCTGTAAATATGTTGTTATAAAAATGTATTATTAAATATTGCAAAATAATATTGTTAGAATATTTTTATTTCTTTTTTGTTGAAACAATTTGATTAAAATATAAATCTAATATTTAAACAACACTTCAAAAGTATTAGCATTCATTGTTTTTATTTTTAGCAATTCAAATTGCAAAATAATGCTAATCTAGCTGTACGATATACTGGTATATATGTATAAATCTGATAAAAAAAATTCCTGAAAAAGAAATTCCAAGTATGAACTCGAGGTCCCCTTAATCTGTTCAATCACTTGATATTCTGTTATAAAAATTGTTTAAAAGAAATATATGAATGTAAAAAAATGAAAACATATAGATCTATTATAATAATTATAATTATCCATATATTACACCAATTACTGCAAATGGTATCCTAAAGTTGCAGAATGCAGTGATACTAATCAAAGTTCATAGATCTGATTCATTAAAATCATGCATTTTATTTACTTTATTATCTTTTTTTAGCATTGTAAGAATATAACAGCTTGAGATTGACATTGATCAACAAATATACAACTTAGAAATAATGCCTCCTCAGAATCTCCGATGTTGCGCGGGAATTTCAGTTATCTGCCCCTGTTAAAAATGTCGACGTTTTTGTCAAGCATAACTGGTTAAAGCTCATTGCGCACCTATGCGCAACGATTTATTTTAGGAAACTATATACCAAATGAAAGAAAAATGATTTCTTCTTCTGATTATTGCTGTCAAAGTATTGTCAAAACGGCAAATTAACGAAAGAAACGAAGTTGAACACGATATGTCATCTACTTTCGCTTTAAATTTCTATTTATGAGACTTGATCTACGTACCCAAGATGTTTTTAGAAATCTCTATCTTTCAGCCTTCGTAAAACATTCATATGACTGTCTAATATCACGTGCTTAAGCATTATAATGCCTATTTATAACATCAGGGTTTTCTCACATAATGGCCGCCATTACGTCTTTGTTATCTATATAACCGTGCAAGTATCTCGTGTTATGCATTTTTTTACGCACTTTTGTCAGGAATCGATGTATGTATTATCCAAAATGGTCTTTTAACTTTTAATCTGAATCAAGAAATTAAAGTATGCACAGAAATTTAAGCTGTTAATTCACTTATAAACATGACCTATTTAGCATGGAGCAGAATAGGAAAGTGCCATAACTCGCGCATGCCTGTCATTGCTACTATCAAAAACACTTGAGATCAGCCACTTCGAACGTAAAGCCGCACGAGACTTCTCGAAGCTGTGACGTCATACGACGTCACAAAGCTCGTCGGAGCTTACGGAGACAGCCGGGCGTCTGTTTGAAACTATAGAACTAGTGCAATTTTTGTTGAAAAACATTGCAGAGTTATTTCTTGTTTCTTTGAAAGATTTCTACAAACTGAAAGTCTGATATATGCTTTACGTTATTATTTATTAATTTCTTCGGCAATATTCGCGCAAAGGACATTGGGTAGTGCAGGAATTCTGGGAATGTTGCACAGAGAAATTTGGCTGACGTATGTACAGATTTCAATCCGAATTTCCTCTGTTCTTACACGTTAGTCTATTGAGCTCGCTGCGCTCGCTAATATGTTGACGGTGCAACCGATAGAGCGAGCGCAAACTCTTCTATTGTTTTAATTTAGATTGGGCTCATCAAACCGCACGTGACATTTGGTGCGTCTAGGCTCTGACGTCACATGACGTCGTATGTAAGTTACAAATACCAAGAAAAAACTGAACAGTGCTGAAAGTTAATGAAAAAAGTTACGTTTACAATTTATCTTCAATATGTATCCATTTAATCAAAGCGAGTAAACTTTTTGTTGAACATTTGCCGTCATTCTCGCGAGAACGCAACTTTGTTAAGTGATGCATTGTGGGTCAAAATTACTGCAGCAAAGAAATTCTATGGAATGAGTGTGCAGTAGTCCGAATTTTCTCTTCGCCCAGGGGTTGTCGTTAGAGCTCGCAGTGACGAGCGTCGCTTTGCGACGCTCGCTGCGCTCGCTATAATTCACAAGAGTCGCTGAGATGGCAAGTTTATCTATTTAAGCAACGTAAACAACAACCAGTGAGCTAAAACAGCCAATCTCCGATGGTTAATAATGATGAAGGTTGACACATACACCTTAGGAGATACTTTATTTTTCGAGATTTATCTAATTGTAGCTTGATGTGGCTATTTTGAGATTTTTGTCTTATGTCACTCATAAAAATAGAAAATTTTAATTTTTTCTTTCATACCAATGTCAGAGACAAAATATGATCTCATTTTCCTTTCTGAACAAAAAGTAAAAAATGATCATCTTTCTTTTCTCTAATTTAATTCACAATCGATTATAATCGAAAATTTGAACTTTAATGAAATTTATATAAAAAAGTTAAAAAGTTATTCAGATTTCTGTCAGACTT